ACATGATCAAATTTGCATTTTAGAAATAGCAACAGCATGGAGGATGGGTTGGAAGGAGATGAGGCTGGGAATAGGGAGAATAATTTAATAGGCTACTGCAGTGATGAGTGAAAAATGATGAGGCCCTGAACTCAGCTTAGAGATAGTGGGTRGTTAGAAGTCAAGAGACAGAAATAACAGGTCATGGGCATGAGGGAGAGAAATGAGGCTAGGTGACCCCCACCCCACATCTTCTGGCTTGTCATCTGGGAAAGGGTGGGGAAGGAAAGGAAGAAGGGAAAAATGAATATGTATCTATTTTCTTCCATGTTCCAAGCACTGTTTGAGGAATTTTACATATATTACTTTATTTAGCCTTCACAATGAACCCAGATAATGGGTGTTATTAACTCTTTCTTCCAGATTAAAAAATAAAAACAAAAATCTAAAATTCAGAGAGCTCAATCCACTAGGCTATGGCCAACACAGGTATTTTTCAGACTCTGGCTCAGGATAGATGTGTTGGAAGAGGATGGGGGCATTAGTTAACCCTGAAGTCTATTTGGATGCCAGGTGCCTTCTGCAGCAGATAGATACCAGTCTCAGTCTGATCCACAGAAGAGACTCTAAAATTGGGAGACATTTCTGTCTCCCAAGCTCAGGGAGGTCTGTCCCCAAGGCAACTTTATCTCAAAGAACTGTTAAGTGAACTTCTCCGTGAACAAAGCTCACCATAATCCCCAGACCTCCAGWAAAGGGACAGCTCTGAGCCAGAACATTTGTCTCCACCTGGCCTCTCCCTAARTATTAAATATTGACCTAGGAGAGGAAGTGTACCAGTTGGCCCAGCATGATGATATATGAATCCCAGGCCCCATGGAGCTGGGTTAGTCATGACAAATAATTTAGGAAGAAACAAAAAAAAAAAATGAATTCAACTATCAAGGGCCAGAGTCACAATTTGAACCTAAGTCTGTATGACTCCAAGGTCCATATTTTTTCCACTTTCTCAAGTTGGGATAGTCACCAAGTTAGATTACACAGAGAAGTTAGTTTGGGGAATTGGACATAGTGACATTTTAGACATAGTGAATTTGAGATGCCTCTGTGACATTCAAGTGAAATCATCTAATAAACTGTTGGGTATATTGTTCCCTTGTACAAATTACTTAAAGTATCTGAGTTGTTGAAAAAAATACCAAAGTCTCTGAGCCTCAGTTTCCTCATCTGTAAAATGGTAATATTATCTATCTTAAAGGGTTAACGGAGGTAAGATTCTTACATAGTACGCTGCTCACATTAGGCAGTCAATAAGAATAAATGAAGCTGGGTGTGGTGGGGCATGGCRGCACATACCCATGATCTCAGTGACTCCAGAGACTAAGGCAGGAGGATTGCAAGCTCAAGTCTAGTCTGGGAAACCTAGTGAGACCCTGTTGCAAAATTAAAAAAAAAAAAAAGCGGAAGTGGCGGGGAGGCACTGGCAATGTAGTTCAGTGGTAGAGTGCTCTTGGGTTCAGTCCCCTGAACCAAACACACACACATACACACACACACACACACACACACACACACACACACACACAAAGAATAAATGAATAAAGCACGTGCTACCTACGATATTATGCATATTCATTGCTGCACAATTTAGAATGTGATTATTTCCTTTTTTAAAAAACATATTTTTAGTTGTAGATGGACACAATACCTTTATTATTTTTTATGTGGTGCTAGGGATCAAACCCAGTGCCTCACACGTGCTAGACAAGCGCTCTACCACTGAGCCACAACCCCAGCCCTGCTTATTTCCTTTTAAGATTTAGTAGTTTAATTAATTTAGTCTCCATAGTTAGACTATAAATTTCTTTGTAATACAGATGCCGTCTTTTGGTATTCCTTATGGTGCTAATCAGAGAATGGGGACTTGACAACTTATTACTAGAAAAAAAATGTTGATGTGGAAGTGGATTGGGACCTAAAGTATGGGGGATGCTTTTCCTTTCGTTGTCTCTTTCCCACCAGCTGCTTAATCAACCAAGCTAGAAACCTGGAGTCATCTTTAACTCTTCCTCTTTCTCAACCCAAACATCTAGTAGTCACCAAATTCCAAATTACTTCACCTATATATCTCAAAACTCTGTTCTCTCTCTACCACTGTCCTAAACCACCTGATCTCTCACCTCCATTATGGGTTTTCTTTCGTTTGTTTGTTTTTCTATTTATTTATTTATTTATTTTTATGGTGTGCTGAGGATCAAACCCAGTRCCTCCCACTTGCTAGGTGAGCACTCTATCAGGCCTGGGCAATAGTAACTGCTTACTTTGCCTCCAGTTCTGCCTCCTCAAATCCATCTTCCAAAGAGTCGACAGAGTAAACTACACAGAACACAGATCTGACCATGTCGTTTCCCGGCTTACCCTTTCAAAGCTCCCTGATGGACTCAAACTGTTTAGTCTGATACATATGGTCCCTAATGCTCTATACATAACACCACTGTTCATCTGAATGTATTTCTTTATGTGTCTTTAAAGGTCTATCTTCCTACCAGCATTTCAATGCCATGAGGTCAGGAAAGCATCTTATTCATCGTTTTGTCCCAAGTATCTAAACACATAGTAGATTCTCAATCAATATTTGTTGAATGAACAAATTAGTATGAAATCTCAGTCACATTTGAGCAAAGACAACAACAAATATATATACACATAGATATACTCACCATCTCCCAAAGACCAGAACCAAACACCTCTCTAAACTCAGCTTATTTTAAAATACCAAGTTATGCATAGTTGAATATTGTACCACTTGAAGTTAAGGGTTCTACCAATTCATTCTGGGAACCTAAATGAGGTTCTTTTTTCAACTTACTATTGTGTGTGTTTGTGTGTGTGTGTGTGTGTGTGTTTATGACTCTAAGCTGCACTTGGGTTTTTAACCCATCTTTAAAAAAACAATTAATTGGGGCTGGGGATGTGGCTCAAGCGGTAGCGCGTTGTCTGCCGAGAACTAAAAAATAAATATTAAAAAAAAAATTCTCTCTCTCTCTCTCTCCTCTCTCACTCTCTCTTAAAAAAAAAAAAGAATAACAAGGCACATTTACCATTTAAAAAAAAACAATTAATTATAGGTTAGCTTTCAAGAAACTGAAGACATGACAGAAAAAGGAAGAAGAAGGAAAAAAATTCTCTTTTATTCTGTGGGAACAGTTTATGCAGGGCAGAACCAATTAATACCTAGGAATCCTCAATGAGAAGAATCTCTTTTTTAAATTGATTGATTGATTGATTGATTGATTGATTGATTTTGGTATCAGGGATTGAACTCAGGGGTACTCAACCACTGAGCAACATCTCCAGCCCTTTTTTGTAGTTTTTTTTTTTTTTAGAGACAGGGTCTCACTGAGTTGCTTAGAGCCTTGCTAAATTGCTGAGGCTGGCTTTGAACTTGTGATCCTCCTGCCTCAGCCTCCCAAGTCACTGGTATTACAGGACTGCACCACTGAACCCTGCTTAATTTTTTTGTTTGTTTGTTTCTTTTAGTTGTAGATAGACACAATGACTTTATTTTTATTTATTTATTGTTGATGTGGTGCTGAGGATTGAACCCAGTGCCTCATACATCCTAGGAAAGCATTCTAACCCTGAGCCACAAACCCAACCCCCCTACTTCTGATTCTTAAACACATTAATCATAAGTCCTTCATCTTAACTCCAGACATGCTGTGTACATAGTTTTGGAGACCCACTGAAAAATGAAAACCCTTATTTAAAAAAAAATCTTATTTCAGGACTGCAGAGCAAGCAATGAACTCCTCTGAATGTAGGGCCTAGTGCAACTACATAGGTCACACCTGAAGTCAGCTCTGGCACAGGAGTTCACAAATCAACCCCAGCTACCTCTGATTTACTAGAATTCACTCTGAATTAATTCTCAGCCATTCATAGCAAGAAAATGRGACCCTCTTCTAGGCTCTTAGTTAGACCAATTCTTCCCACCCCACTTACAGGGGATTGAACCTAGAGGCACTTAACCACTAAACTACATTCCCAGCTTTTTTTTTTTTTTTGTCTTTTAATATAAGCTGGGAATTGAACCCAAGGAAGCTAGACAAATGCTCTACAATTGTAGACAAATGAGCTACAGTTAGTTACAGCCCTTTTGTCTTTAATTTTGAGACAGGTGCTAAATTGATGAGACTGGACTTGAATTTGTGATCCTTCTACCTTGTTGTACCAAGTCTCTGGAGATTACAAGCCTGACTTTTTTTTTTCCAGTTGTAGATGAACACAATACCTTTATTTTATTTTATTTTTTTAATGTTGCTCTGGGGATCAAACCCAGTGCCTCATATGTGCTTGGCAAACACTCTCCCACTGAGCCACAAACCCAGCCCTTCTGCCTGGCTCTTAATTTTTTTTAATAAATCCTTCCATTTTCTTTCTTTCTGAAGCCTAATTTTAAAGTCTTTTTTAAAAGAACTTTTCTGAGTCTGGTATAATTGTAAGATATCATTGTTAGTAAAATAGTTAATTTTACTACTGACATAGTGCATGTGAAAAGTTTGCTCTGTCTCTCCCTTTCTTTCCCTCACAGCTTGTCCAGGATCCATGTATAGAGGAGGCTGCAGATCTACCCTGAAGCTCAAAAGTAGAAAAAAACTTGGGGCTGGGGATGTGGCTCAAGCGGTAGCGCAATCGCCTGGCATGCCTGCAGCCCAGGTTCCATCCTCAGCACCACATACAAACAAGATGTCGTGTCCGCGGATAACTAAAAAATAAATATTAAAATTCTCTCTCTCTCCCTCTCTCCCTCTCTCTTTAAAAAAAAAAAAAAAGAAAAAAGAAAAAAAACTTGGTGAGTCTGATAAGCAGCAGCTTTTAATGAGTGATAAGGTCCCGCCCACCAGGAACCCTCCCCGTGTGCCACCAACCAGCATCTTAGGCATGCTGGTAAACTTCCTACACAGGCCTTTGCCCTAGGTCCAGAGTATGTGCCCTACCTACCTAGGGCTCTGAGAGCACCCAGAGGCCACATACATAGACATCCCTTGTTTTCCAGGTAGTGAAAAGTACCATAATTGCTAACTCCTGAGATCACAAGGAAAGCAGAGTCACTGTGGGAATTTGGCAAGACGCATCCTGCACCAAATTCTGTGGCCTGTGGTGTGTTGCCTAAGAGAAGCAGGTAAGAAATCTTTKGGGGTCCAGGTGTGGTGGTGCACGCCTGTAATCCCAGCAGCTTGGGAGGATGAGATAGGAAGATTTTAAGTTTGAAATCAGCTTCAGCTAGCAAAATTCTGCCTGGGGATGTAGCTCAATAGTAAAATACTCCTGGTTCCTGGGTTCAATTCCCAGTATCCCCCCACCACCACCAAAAAATAAATAAATAAATAAAATAACTTTTTGTTCAGGGCCAGAGACTTAAGCAACTGTCTTGCTTTTAGTATAAATAGTGCTGGGACCAGGTTCAGGGCAGGTTTGGAAAGAGGCTCCACAGAAAGAAGAGAAAGTCACAAGTGGCTCAGAGTGGTCTGCTAAATCTTCTCACATTCAGGGGTCCATGATAGCCACACCAATACCTGGAATCATGGCTAGTGGGGAAGATGAGCCAAGGAACTGTGTGGTGTGTGGGGACCGAGCCACAGGCTATCATTTCCATGCTCTGACGTGCGAGGGCTGCAAAGGTTTCTTCAGGTAAGACCCTCCTCCTCCATAGAAACAACCCTGTTCCCAGCTCCTATCAGTCAGCCTTTAAACCCTGGCACAYGCCCAGCCTTGTCCAGCTACATTACTCCTGTATTTAAGTCTCACTACTCTGTGGCTAGCACTCTACATCTTGCCAACCACACCACTGTATAAACTGACGGCATGATAAAAGAGAGAGGACCAAATATTTGTCCCATGCACACAGTCTATTTGTCCCCCCCCCCTTTCTCTGTGTGTGTGTGTGTCTCAAGAGTACTTATCATGTGCCCATTGCAAAGCACTAAGGTAATACTATATTGACTAGGCTTGCCCCAATGATCCTGTGTGTTGTGCTCTATTCACTCCTGAAGTTCTTTGAACTTGTGCTCTATTCACTCCTGAAGTTCTTTGCTGAGTGAAGGTGGGAGACAGCTGTAGTCCCAGCTACAGAGGCTGACATAGGAGGGTGGCAAGTTCCTGGCCAGCCTGGGCAAGTTAGCAAGACCCTGTCTCAAAATAAAAAATAAAAAGGGCTAGGTATGGGGCTGGGATTGTGGCTCAGTGGTAGAGTGCTTGCCTAGCACATGTGAGGCCCTGGGTTCTATCCTCAGCACCACATAAAAATAAATAAAAATAAAAGTATTGTGTCCAACTACAACTAAAAAATAAATATTAAAAAAAAGGGCTAGGTATGTAGCTCAGTGGTTAAGGCCTCCCCCCCGGAGGGTTTTGATTCCTAGTACCACAAAAATTTAAAATGTCTCTGTTGGGGCTGGGGTTATGGCTCAGTGGTCTGAAGTGCTTGCTTAGTTCGTGTGAGGCATTGGTTTCAATCCTCAGCACCACATAAAAATAAATAAAATAAAGGTATGTGTCCATCTATAACTAAAAAACAAAAATGTCTGACTTTCACAGACGAGCAGTCAGTAAAAGCACGGGTCTCACCTGCCCCTTTGCTGGAAGCTGTGAGATCAGCAAGACCCTGAGGCGCCACTGCCCAGCCTGCAGGTTGCAGAAGTGTCTAGGTGCTGGCATGAGGAAAGACAGTGAGTTGGTCTCCTACCTTCCCAGTTGTCCATTGACTGTCTCTGTGCTTTGTCTTTATTCCCAATAGTACATTTTGCATTAACAAGCACAGTAAGATTATTTTTTTCAAATTCGTCAGATGATATCACTATTCTACTCAAAACTCTCAATGGCTCCCCATCTCTTTTAAAGTACAAGATCTCTTGATCTGGTTCCTGCATACCACCTTTCAGACTTCATTTCCTCTTTCCCCCTTGCCCAATCCAGTCCAATAACATTGACTTCAATGCCCTTCTTAAACCCACCAATCACACTCTTCCCCAGGACTTTTGCACTCCTCATTCCCTCTACCTGAAAAGTGCTTCCCTTGGTATTCATATRGCCAGCTTTTTTCTTTTATCTCTTGAGTATAATGCCTATCACCTAGTAGATGCTCGATAATTTTTAATTAATTAATGTTTTCTCTGTGCCAGGTAAACTATTCTATGCTCCCAATAGATGATATAACTGGGACTCAAAGAAGTTAACTTACCCAAGATCAACCAGCTAAACAGTTGTACAGTCAGTATTCAAATTCAAGTCTGCCTGACACTAAACTCTTGCTTTTTCCATACGATTGCAGTACTTTTCAATAGGATGGAAAGAAAACTATTTATAAACCAAAAAATCTTGGTTTGAATTCAATCTGCATCATTTATTTTATGACCCTGGACCTGTTGCTAGAATCTAAGCATATTTACATTTCTGAAAAATATGAATAATACTTACCTTGTCTACCACAGTGTTGTTTCATCCAGTGAAATCTAACCTCAGAACTTTTGAAATTATAATGCTGTGTCATGGTTTGGATCTGGAATGTCCCCAAAGTCTCATGTGTTGAAGTCTCGGTTTCCAATGCAGTAATGTTCAGAGGTAGGGCTTTTAGGAAATGACTGGATCATGAGGGATAGAACCTCATCAGTGGATTAATCCATTTGATGGAACTAATAATTTGAGTGGACTATTGGGACGTGATAGAAACTGTAGGAGTTGGGACCTAATTGGAGTAGCTTACTGGGAACCTGCCCTGGAAGGGTTTATCTTCCTCATCTCCTTCCTCCCTCTCTCTGCTTCCTGCTGCCATGAGCTGAGTAGCTTTTCTGCCATGATGTTCTGCCTTGCCTCCGTCCCAAAGAACAGAACCAGCCAACCATAGACTGAAATTGAGTCAAAAGAAATGTTTCCTCCTCTAAGTTATGTCAGGTATTTTGGTCATGGAAATGAAAAGCTAACATATTATACAAACACAAGATGCTGCCTTAGCACTTTATTAAGCCCCTCTTAATTATTTCCCCCCAAAGCCAACCATCTTATACCTTTCCCACTTTACTCTCCATCCTTCCCTCCTTTCCCACAGTGCATTGTTTCCTGCCATGTGCCTTACAGGTAACTGAGGTTGGTGAAAGGGGGCAGGAATTCCCCACACTTGAGGTCTCTAGGAGTCAATCAAGTTCAAGGAAGCCTCAGGAACTCTCCTTCCTTCCCCAATCCTTCCTTGTATAGAGTGGTTGAGGAATCCCAGATCAGTGACTGGCTGAAAGATGTTCTCTGCTGGTCTAAATAGCTTTGTTACATCTCGTCTGGTACAGTGATACTGTCGGCAGAAGCCCTGGCATTACGACGAGCAAAACAGGCACAGCGGCGGGCACAGCAGACTCCTACACAATTGAGTCAGGAGCAGAAAAAGCTGGTCCAGACCCTTCTGGGGGCCCACACTCGTCATGTTGGCACCATGTTTGACCAGTTTGTGCAGTTCAGGGTGAGCACTGATCAGGGCTGAAAGTGACAAAAAGGGTATCTAGGAGGTGGCCTATGGGAGAGGGCTGTGTACCATGTACCAACAGAGGATAGATCTTCTCCAGAACCCTAGTCTGGGCAAATTCCTCTAAAGAACTTTTCCAAATAAGGCTGGTGAGGCCTCAACAAAAGCCCTAGGAGCCAGGGACTCTGGCTCACATCCTGATCTCTACAGCCTCCAGCCTACCTGTTCATCCATCATCAGCCCTTGCCTACCCTGACCCCTGTGCTACCTCTGCTCACACACTTCGCAGACATCAACACTTTCATGATGCAGCAAATTATCAAGTTCACAAAGGATCTGCCTCTTTTCCGGTGAGTGATCTTCCCTTATCTCTCATGAAGCAAGGGCTTCATAAATTGTATACCGTCTTCATCTCTCCCTACCTCTAAAAGTTACTGATCAGCTGGTCATGGCGGCTCATGCTTGTAATCCCAGCTACTCAGGAGGTTGAAGAAGAAGGATTGCAAATTTGCAGCCTGTCACAGCAACTTAGTAGACCCTGTCTCAAAATAAAAAGTGCTGGGGGTGTAGCTCAGTGGTAGAGAGCCCTTGGATTCAATCCCCAGTACTAGGGTGGGGGGAGTCCTATCACACATGGTGGTGCATGCCTGTAATCCCAACAATTTGGGAGGTTGAAGCAGGAGGATGGCAAGTTCGAGGCCAGCCTCAGCAATTTAGCTAGGCCCTAAGCAACTTAATGAGACCCTGTTTCAATACAGAAAATAAAAAGGGCTGGTGATGTAGCTCAGTGGTTCAGCACCCCAAAATAAAAAAGTCACTCAACCAATTACCACACCCCTTAGTATTTCCAAGCACCAGGTCTCAAAATCAGGTTTGTTTTTAAGTGTGTCACTCAGGACCGGAAGTTCCTCTCCCTCTCCTAAGTTCAGACTTGTCTAAAATGCCCTTTTTTTCGTGTTCTCTATAGATCCCTGCCCATGGAGGACCAAATCTCCCTTCTCAAGGGAGCAGCTGTGGAAATATCTCACATTGTACTCAATACCACTTTCTGTCTCCAAACACAAAACTTCCTGTGTGGACCTCTTTGCTACACAATGGAAGATGGAGCCCATGGTGAGAAGGTGCTAGAGCAGTAGGGGCATGTGTCCTTGTGGTCTGGGATGAGGTGAGGTGACCTAGAGGCTCTAAGCCTCATATCTCCTACAGCAGGGTTTCAGGAAGAATTTTTGGAGTTGATATTTCGCTTCCATGGGACACTAAAACGACTGCAGCTCCAGGAGCCTGAGTATGTGCTCATGGCTGCCATGGCCCTCTTCTCTCCTGGTGAGCATTTCCCAAAGCCCAGAAACTTTGGTCCCACCATCTCTACCCAAACTGGGTCCCTTGAATCCATCCGTCCATGGCCATCTAGCCTTTAAACCTTTGGAGTGGGTCTATATCATCCTCAGACCCTGGGACACTGTGCAGGCCTCCCCCCTCCCCCTTGTCCTTCCCAGCTCTCTCTCTTACAGATCGGCCTGGAGTTACCCAGAGAGAAGAGATTGATCAGTTGCAAGAGGAGATGGCACTAACTCTGGACAGCTACATCAAGGAACAGGAACCAAGGCCCCGAAATCGGTAGGTGGGAGCCTGGGGCTTGGAGGCTGCACTGGGGAAGAAAGAGGTTATGGAAAACGCTCAACCCTGGATGAATGTTTTTCCTGTCTTTTCCTTTGGCAAACCAGATCTCTTGGGGTCTGGTCCTTTCCTCTGGCCATCCCAGTTGCACAGTTCCAGCATTCAAATTGCTCTTACTGATGTTTGATCTTACTTTTTCCAGATTTTTTTTTTTATTCAGTAGAGATGCAAAGTAGTAGCTCACAGGCTCTTATAATAGCATTCCTGAGATTGATGACATCTATAACCTAGCACTATAACTTCTCCAGACTAAAGTAGACCATTAAGAGTCTTGCTCACTTTTGTTCCTTGGCCCTTTCTCATCTCTCCACTTGGCCAATTCCTTGAATTTTTTCATTTCCCTTGGAGTTAGGGTCATTCACAGTTTTGTGTCCCTGATTCAGGATCTATCTGGGCTCTGAGGTATGTGCAACTTCCTCAATAAGTCAGTTTGCCAGAAGAAGGATACTTTGTACCACAGAACAACCCACCCATCTTCTAGAACTTGCTCTAGAAGGCCAAACCCTCAGACTCTACACAGTTGAAGTTCTGGCAAGGTCTGGGGCTTCCTTCACACTTGGTCCTCAGAGTTCAGGAAAAACTGGGCATTGTGACAAGATAGTATCAGACAGATACCCCTTTGGGGACTTTTGAACATTTGACAGATTTTCATACCAGAGCCTGATTTTCTCTAAAGTTCAGACTTAGCCTCACTGAGGGTTAATTCAGTGGGTCAGGGCCTCAGGACAAGACTTCTAGCTGTCTTATTTCCTTCCTCTTCCCTGGTAACCCCACTACTTCCTTCAAAGGTTTCTATATGCAAAGTTACTGAGCCTGTTGGTTGAACTCCGGAGTATTAACAACGCATACTGTTACCAACTCCAGCACATAAAGGGACTATCTGCTATGATGCCACTGCTCCAGGAGATCTGCAGCTGAGCCCCAGCCTGGCCTTCTTCCCCAGCCCACTTGGGACACACTGGACTGGAAAGGGGAAATTGCTAGGACGAGGAGAAAGGGAGTTCAGTGATTGTAATGAAAGACTAAAGCAATAAATGCCTCTTCATGCGATCATTGGGGTACTCAGGGGTGACCATGGGGGTAAGGTTGTCCTTTGGATGCATAGAAGATGAAGAAGAGGAAGCCTCAGGCTAAGAGGTAAAACTTCTGGGAATGGGTAGGTCCCACTTTTCAATGCCCCAAATTTAGCCCTTCAGCCCTACTTTCTCAGCCTTGGGAGACTCTGGGATGGGAAAACAGGATGGGGAAGCTAATCCCATGCAGTCTTTTCTGCTCTGGAGAGGAAGGAGCTAGGGGCTTTAATCCAGAGGAAAACAAAGATGGAAATGAAGGGGGGAGTTCAACCAGACATATTCCTTAATCCTTCTCCCTTAGTCCAGAGCAACGAGAGCSTGGGGAAGATGATACTGGGGCTGGTGGCAGAAGTGGGAGCCTCAAACCACTGCCTTATCAGCTGACCCAGTGGCAGCGCCAATTTTGAGAAGGGTATGGTCCTGTTCCCCACTCTGCTCCTAGGACCTAGAGGTCACCCATCGAGGTGGGCTCTGGAGAGGAGCCTAGTCTCTGGCCCTAGGACACCTGACTCAGGTTCCAGCTGTGGGGGCTGGCTCTGGGACAACCTCAGCCCACAGTGATGCTGAAGCCACAATGGAATCTGTTGCGCCAATGATTAAGGAAGGCTCCAAGGGCCAAGGTGACGGGCAGCGGGGGCATCTTCTTCTCCAGCACAGCACCTACACACCAGTTACTATCCACCAAGCCTATTGGGAAAGAAAACATCAACTAGGTTATTGAACAAGACTTGGAGAAAAGGGTTGGCAAAAATAAGGTAGAACTTCCCTCCCTCTGCATCCCCTGATCCTTCAGCACTTCTGAATGCTGTCACAATAACTCTTACCTCTAAACACCATGTTGGCCTGGGGCAAAGTCAGGTGGTAACCAAAGGAGAAGGTTGTGTCTTGTAGCCTTGTGTTTGCCTCAAACTCCACTCCAACCTGAACCTGAAAAACAAGGGCAAGGATAAGAGGGGGATTCAGTCTTGGTGAAGACCCGAGGGGCCCTGACAGGGGATCAGCAGAATGAAGACATCCATTAAAATGTATACCTGTGTGGGTAGGAAGAATACGAGGCCAGCAAGAGCCTGTTTGTCTACAGAGGCAAAAGTTTATATAACTGACTTGCTAGCATAGGGCATGAGATCAGTAGCTCACCTGTTCATTTGCCCTGTGGTAATAGCTTGCATGGGCCCCGCCAGATCCCACATTCAATGTAGCCACCCAGTGTACAGCTGTAAAAAACAAAATACAAGGGGAAAGGAGAATTACTGTAGTAGGACGCATTCCAAGGACCCCAGCAAAGCCAGAATTGCCATTCCACTTCACCCCATACCYGAGTACTTCCCAGCCAGAGTCAAGATGGCTCCCTCTTCACCCGGCCGCCGGTGATAAACTAGCTCTCCTCCTAGCACCAGTCGATGAGTGAGGCTCTGCAGAAAGTGAGCGACCATGATCACTGTGGGGGAGTGAGGAGACGTGGAGTCAGTCATAGAGACAATAGTGAGGACTACTCCTTCACCCCCAGTTCCCTCCTACAACCTGCCCCAGAAATTCCTTTTCGAACTCCCAAACTCTACAGAAGATGAGGAGGCATGTCCAACATTAGCAAATAGAACCCTGTTTAGGGTTCAAAAGAACCCTGTCCCAACTCCTCACCCGATTCCCCAATCAGGTCAGGATTTCCTAGGGTCAGAGTGGCTGTGTAGTCATCTCCTCGATACTCGCCATCAAACTGCCATGTCAGGAATTTGGCCTGTTGTGTCTGTGTGGAGAGAGCAAGAAGTAAAATCTCCAACCATCTTTTTATAATCACTATTGCCTCTGATCCTCCCCCTGGCTTCCCCAGGGCAGGATACCCATAGAGGAGAAAGAGAAGTGCCTCGATGGATGGAGGCAGGAACTGTGGGTCACCTGGAAGACAGCCTTAGCTCGGAGCCGCTCTGCCAACAGAAGCAGGACCTGGGCGTTGAGACTTCCACTGCTGTCCATATCCCCTACCACAGTGGGGAACACCTGGTGAGGAGTGTAGACAGTAAGGCTGAGCTGGATAGCATTACTCAACTTAAACCCAAACACTGGGTTACTCAGCGCCCCCTGGTGGAGACACAAAGAAAAACTCTGGCATCTTTTCATAGAATTGTTTCCCCACCCTTTGCCATTCAGAAGAGACAGAATCTGGTTACTGTCAATTCTTCCCTTAACACACACATTTCCTCCTCCTCCGGACCTAAGTCCCAGGTGCGCTTTTAGAGAGTGGACCCAGGTATGTGGAGCCCTCACCTCTGTGGGGCTGAGCTGCCAATCCCCTGCATAGGCTGCATGGAGGTGATAGCCAGGCAAGCCCAGGGCACTCATGTGCACAGTGTGAGCCACCTGCAGAAAGAGGAGTCAATGGAGGAAGAGAGCATCCATGTTTCATTTCAATACCTCATCCCACCCGTCATCTTCTCCCCATTCAGGGGGCCTTTTAAGAATCCCAAATATCCCAACATATGCAGTGGGTTAACAGATTTTAAGCACCAAGTCCCGCAGGCAAGGGAGGCAAAGAGAACCCCACATCCTCCCTCATTTGTCCCACATAGCCTAGCTAAGGCTGGAGTGCAAAAAGGAAAGGAGGATCCAAGGATAGGCACGAAGGAATGGTAAGGATGGGACAGAGAAGTGGGAGCACCTGGAAATGGCTGCTCAGAACCTTGTTGACAACGAGCTTCACTCCCTCCATCTGTGCTGGGAATACATCTGAAGGGGGTGGGGGGGAAGGGAAGGAATAAGCACAGACAAGGAATCCCTACCCAAAGAGATAGTCTCCCCTTTCAATCCCATATGAAGCACTGGAGGGATTGACCTCCTTTCAACTCCTCAAACGAAATGCTCCACTTCATTTGGGCACCTGATTCTCCCTGAACTGAATGCCGCAGCTGTGATTTCCCCTTTTCTGTTCCCATCACCGGACATCAGGTTTCAAGACCCTCCCTTCCTCCGCCCCTTCAACTTGAGATCCAAATGACAGAGTTCTCACCTTTGCATAGCCGGTGCAGCTCATCGAAGCTCCCAGGGTTGGGTAGAGGTTCCTCTCGGCGGGGGCTCCGGCGGGGCATACTCCCCATCGGTGCCAGGCCCAAAGTATTACCCATTTTAGTCCAGAGGACAGGGAGGGGCCCGGGTTAGCCTGGGAAAGGATTCTGGCTTCCTCTACCCCCCACGGGCCCCACCCCCCATCACCAGGCTCCCCAGTCTCAGAAACTTCCACATGATCGAATGCTAGTCCTGGAACAGGAAGAGTGGGGAGAGAGAGCACCGATGGAGAGATAGAACCCTAGGCACACTCCCACCCCATCTTTGATCCCTCACCCCCACCTGTCACCCCTGTCCTCGCTCCCATTTTTTAATCCTAACCCCCACCACAGACCTCACCTGGATTCCTAGTCTTTCTAATCTTCATTCCCACGCCCTGAGGGCAGGCCCGCAATAGAACAGTAGCCCTTACCATCTCAGACCATCCTGCGGTCCCTTTCCCCCCGGCACACCCCGGTCATCTTGATGGGGGCAGCCATCTTGGTTAATGGCAAAGCTTCGGCTTCACGTTGCATTTCCAGAGTGGCCATGAGCGCCATCTTGGAACCGGGCAAAGGAAACTACCTAAGACCCAACCCTCTCCTGATTCGGTCCCGCCCAATAGGTGGGAAAAAAGGCACTTCGATCTCCTAGTCGCCAATGAGAAAGAAGGAAGCAAAAGAGTGGCAGGCATGGCAGCCGGGGAGCTTCACCCTGGCGGGGCAGAGGCCAGCGGGATTYGATTGGTGGTTTCTTAGACTTCAGCAGAAGGCCTTAGATTGCCCTGCCTCTCCAAGGTCGAGATAAACCTGTGAACGTTCAAGCCACTAGAGGGAGTATCTTGTCGCTTGGACCACTGAAACTCCTTGCACCGGCCACGAAAAAAGTGAAACTACAGCCTGGAGGCTGTTTTATTTTTGGTACTGGGGATTGAACCCCCGGGAGCTCTACCACTGAACTACATCCCCAACTTTTTCTTTTCTTTTTTACTTTTTTTGAGATAGGACTCGATTAGTTGCCGAAGCTGAACTTGTGATCCTCCAGTCTTAGCCTCTGGAGTAACTGTGATTACAAACGTGTGCCACCACACCCAACTCAGATTTTGTGTTTAGTGACGAATGATGGAGGAATGATCCTGAAGACTTCTTTCGAACCTAGTTCATATCATGCCCCACATCCCCATTGAATCCACAGCCCTCCACAGCCCGCCTCTAAATGACACATAAGCACAGCTCTTCCCCAGACACAAACCCCCTCATCTTCTAGAGGTCTACACCTCTCAGGAGTGTCCCCTCTGGGTAGAAAGGAAATGGGTGTGTGACAGTTTGGGGTAGAGGAGCAGGCTCTGGGCAGAACTATTCCTTAAAATACCATCTAAGCCCAGCGGCTCGGGAGTCTGAGGCAGGAGGATGGCAAATTCAAAGCCAGCTCAGAAACTTAGTGAAGCCCTAAGCAACGCAGTGAGGCCTGTATTTAAATAAAACACAAAAAAGGCCTGGGAATGTGGCTCAGTGGTTAAGCGCCCCTGGTACACGCCCTCCAAAATAACAACAACAACAAAAAAAACAAAACAGGTACCTCTATAGTTAATCCTTCTTTCTTTGAGTTTTCAGGCAGGGTGAACAAATAAAACCTAGGAATAAGTTTCCAGACCACAAATGTGCTCTGCCTTAGGGCCAGGGGCAAGCAATAGACTACACTCAAGAACTATGAGCTCTACTGGGGAATAATTGAAAATGGAATAAAATTGTTTAGCCTTTTTTCCCTACCTTTCTCACTAGCTCCCACCACTCCTTCCCATCTTTCAGGAATGTTCCACATACCTAGGGAGCAAACTTTGAGGGCAATAGGGTGGAAGATACAAATGCTTCTGGTATCTAGTTAGCTAATTCTACTGAAATGCTTTGAGCCTAGGAATGTAACCCCCCTCCCCTTAATTAGGGCTGGGACAAGGGCCAGGACCTTGGCCATAGGTATTCTATGGCCCCTGCTAATTCAATATTGGCTGACCACTGCCTTGAACTGATAAGGCAGTCAGATGACCAGGTATATTCAACCCTTATCCTAGCAGGAGCCTCTTGTGTCTTTTCCTGCCAGAGCTCTCCAACTGAGAGGGGAAGGGCAGAGGCTGTTTTCTGAATTTGTTTTTATTGGGGGAAGGGTATGCTCATTGATCAGCAACCAGGAGGGCCATTCTGGGCCCTGGGTTGTTTTCTCCCCCTGTCTCATTATACATTAACTGAAAAAGGACAGAGTCAATCACACCTGCCCTCTGACCCTGACTCTCATTCTCCTAACCCCCATTCCCTTCACTACTGCCCCTAATTTCAACTGCTCTTTTTTTCTTTTATTCTTTTCCCCAATACTTATCTTCAAAGTTGCAGTGAAGACAAGTAGGGTTGGGGAGATGAAATTTACTCAGAAAAGAGATAAAAAGATCAAGGATCAAGGGTTTGATGTCAGAGCTTTCCAGAGAAATGATTAGAAATCTTGCTTCCCCACTGCATTCAAATCCAAAGATAACTAGCCCCAGATCCCAAAAGAGTCAATCTTAAACAGATGGATGTGTACACTTTTGCCCTTCACTAAGGCCTGTACCCTCTGCTTCTCATTTAATCGCCATGAGTTCCTCATTTCTTGTCCTCTCCTCCCCCATTTCTCCAATCTGTTTACTTCAACATGGTCCCTCCCCCAATATCTCCCCAGAATCTCTATCACCTGACAGGGGGTGGTGAAAAGGACAGGTATATATATAGCCCCTGCCTTTCCAGCCAGGCCAGCAACAGACACCAAAGACAGAGACGCTGAGTAGGTATGGTGAGAGAGTAAGAGCTGTGGGCAGCATGTAAAGAGGACTGGGCTTTGATGGTGGAAAGGAAGGGAACCAGGGTGGAGAGGGCATCTGGATGTGAGATCCCTGGGGAGGGGGTGAAGCCCATTTGGCTTTATCATCCTTCCTCACCACCAGCACTATATTCTAGGCCACCTTTCTACTGTCACCACGATGAAGCTGCTTGCAATGACCGTGCTTCTCCTTACCATCTGTAGCCTTGAAGGTGGGTATGATATGGAGGGAGGGGGACAAAGAAGAACAGGAGATGGTGGTCCTCGCTACCCATTTTCTGTGTTCCTATGCCTCAGTCTGGCAACCACGGAGCTTTCCTCTCTGAAGTCCAGAAAGAAAAAAATATATATATCCAAAGATTTGTCTATATATCTATTTGGAAAGGGGGCTGAGAGCTGGGGTGGAGAATGGCAGAGGTATGGTGGGAGACCAGGACTCATTGCTGGGGACCCAGCTGAGAAAAGTGTGCCTATGTTTCTAGGGGCTTTGGTTCGGAGACAGGCTGAGGAGCCAACTCTGCAGAGCCTTTTCTCTCAGTACCTCCAGACTGTGACGGACTATGGCAAGGACCTGGTGGAGAAGGCCAAGGGCCCAGAGCTTCAAGCCCAGGCCAAGTAAGTGTCAGGGGTAAGGGTTTGGAGGTGGGACAGTGGAGAGAAGGAACAGAAGATGGAAGGTCTTACAGGAGACTGACTCAGGGGTGGAGGTTAAGAAGGATTCAGCTTAAACTGGGGAGAAAACTTCTTCCATTGCTCATAGATCGTGTGTACCTTTTGGACAGATAGGGGTAATAGGAAGTGGTCCCTGAATTTCAACCTCTAGAGTCTATTGCTCTGTCCAGTGGTGGGTTTGATTCTCCTACTAGGTGCTTTGCCATGGCAGGAGGGACCAGAGACCTAGTTCATTTTGCTCCTTCTCACCACCAACAAGGCTCCTCCCYGCCAGTCATTAGGTTTCTTCACACTGACCTCTAATCCCTCCCCTATCCAGGGCCTACTTTGAAAAGACGCAGGAACAGCTGACACCCCTGGTCAAGAAGGCTGGAACTGATCTGATTAACTTCTTGAGCAATTTCATGGACCTCAAAAAAACACAGCCTGCTGAGCAGTGAGGAGACCGTACCATTTCTTCCAACCCCAGGGACCAGGCCTAGTGTCCCTCTCCCTACCAACTCCCCATTTTCTACAATAAATGTGGAAGGAATCAAATTGTGAGTCTCGTGTGTTCAGGTGACTGGGAAAAGTAGCAGAGTTGAGGAGGAGTGGAAAGAAGAAAAAAGATAAATCTGCTTTTAAAAGGAGAAGGGTTTGGGTGTGGAGGGATAGAGAAAGGGTTGAAGAGACAAATGATTGAAATGATATAGCAGTGGTGTGTGGTATGCCTGTGATTCTTCCTCAAGCCCAGGGAATCTCCCACAGCCCAGGCATAGCTCTGCCGTGGAGTGATAGTGCCACTGTATAGGACATGGAACTGTGAAAGAAAGGAAGGATTCATAAACCCAATCCCTAGACTTCTGAAAATTACAGGAAATGAGGGCATCCTTCAGAATTTCCCCTTAATCGTTCTAGAAAGAGAAAAATATCTTCCTCAAAATTAGCCCAGTGGTGTGACCCAAGACCCTCTCTTTCCTTATGAGTAAGGAGAATACTCTTGTTTCTCCATCTCACAATAAAAGAGAAACCTGGTTTCACTCCTTTCCCTAAAAGTGTTCTAATTCTTCCCTCCTTTCAAAACCTCTGAAAGCTTGGACCCATTCCAAGCCCTTCCCCTACCATTATCCAGGCACTATTCAAAGAACTGGCCTGGTAACCATCTTAGAGCCTGGAACTGGTAGCCATTTAAAGGCCTGACAGTTATCTAACTTGGTGGACATGGGATATAAGAGACGCTGTGATACCTGGATTAAATGAAAATGGAAATCAGGTTGGGTTGATAGGGGGAGATACAGTTCTAAAATGAGGCCTTTTCCAATAAAAATGAATTCCTCTTTTATTTACTTATAGTATAAGGAATCAAACCAGGGATTCACACATACTAGACAAGTACTCTACCACTGAACTACAACCTTAGCCTCCTGCTTTAAAAGTTATTTTCTCGGGGCTGGGATTGTGGCTCAGCGGTAGAGCGTTCCCCTAGCACGGGTGGGACCCCRGTTCAATCCTCAGCACCACATAAAAATAAAGGCATTGTGTTGTACCCATCTACACCTAAAAAACAAATATTTTTTAAGAAAGTTATTTTCTCTGTATGTCTAGCTACTTGGAAGGCTGAAGTAGGAGGATCACAAGTTTGAGACCAACCTCACCAATTTASCGAGACCCTGTCTCAAAATAAAAACTAAAAAGGACTGGGTTTGTAACTTAGTGATAGAGTGCCCCAAGTTCAATACCCAGTACCAAATTAATTAATTCATTATAACAGTTATTTCCCTGTCCYGGCTCATTTCACATACAGCATCTGAAGTCATCTTTCTCCCGGAGACTGGAGATGGCTTCAATTTATTCTATATGTTGATCAACCTCCTTAATCTGTCATCAAGACTCTCACCATTCATAATTATTCCCCTACCCTTTTCTTTCAAAATATCTACCTTTTCTCATGAGGCAAAGTGTGCAGAAACAAAGATTTATTAGTCTGTTATTTGCAAGGTGACAATTTGGACAAGTTAATTTCAAAAAGCCTGAATTTCCTTAGGAGTTGACAAGTGAATCAAATGGTACAACTGAAAAAATAGTTTGAGAAACATAAGTTACTACCCGTACAAAGTATTGCTTGGCACAAGGGGTTGCTGGAAGCTTGGGGACCCTAGACCCATTCAAGAATACCTGCTGGGTTAAAGGTAGAACTGGCAGCATCTCAGGAAGTTTAAATACTTCCAGGCAGAGCTTTCTGGCAGTTCTGGAAACAGGACAGGCACAAACACGGGATTCCTTGGTCACTCACCCATGGGCTTGGGGGAGATGACTTCTTATCTGGGCCCAATTTGATTCCCTTTGCCTTACCTGTCTTTAATCCCTATTTGGCCATTTCTCTAAGGCCCCTTTCTCTATATGTGAATGTGCTACTAGGGATTGAACTGACCTACATTCCTGAACCTTTTGATCTTGCTAAATTGCCCAGGCTAGCCTCAAACTTTTTTACTTTTTTTTTTTTTTTTTTTTTGAGTGCTGGGGATTGAACCCAGGGCTTTGTGCATGCTCAACAAGCACTCTACCAACTGAGATATAGCCCCAGCCGTGGCCTCAAACTTTTGATTCTCCTGCCTCAGCTTCCTGAGTCACTGGGATTACAGTAGTATACCACTGCATCTGGCTCTTAAAAGTTCCTCTTACCTTAGAATTCCCCTTAAAATCACTCTTTCTAGAAAACCGTCTATTAGGAGCTTCACATAACCCTGGTTATCCCATTTTTTTTTTTCTGCATGTTTGGCTTTTCAACTGTGCTAATTCCCATATGCATATACTGGATTGGTACATATCTGGATTGGTGAAAATCTGGGATTGGACAGACAGGCTCCCCCACAATCCAACAATTGTCAATTTTCAGACACAGAAGGCCACATTGTGTGCAGATGTCATTTCTTAGGTTCTGATGTCTCCGAACATGGCTACATTCCCAGCAGAGTTGGTGTGTAGGGAGCATACTCCCTGCTCTAGCTCTATCTCAGAGCATCTGGGGGTCAAAGGTCTCATCCCTCCCCCAGCTACAATCAGCATTCATTCCTTGTTTGAGCAAAGTAGCTTTAAAGTTCATTAAACTGTGAGTTCTGTGAGGTCAAGAACTGAGTTTGCCTTACTCAAAACTGCATCTTCAGTATCCTTCCTAGTGCCTAGTAGAGGCTGAATAAATATAAGATAAATGAATGAACAGATAGAGTACAGTCTGTGACAGCTTTATTGAGGATCTCCCTTCCCATTGTTTAACAAGAGTTGGGGAGGGGGAAGGGAAGAATGGTTGGGCAAGGGAGTGAGACTAGAAAATAAACACATTGAAGAGCATCTGAGCATAAGTCTTTAAGTGGGAGGAGAAATCGCTGGTGTACATTAACATGGGGCTTGGCATCATTATAGGGATAAGGTCAGTTGGCATTAAGAGTGTGGAGGCATATACAATGCTGACCATAAGGGCTGGGAGGTGAACTGGAAGCCACAGAAAGATGTGACCAAGGATATCTAAAGCTATTGAGGTGGTTTCTCATACTTCAGAGTCTCATATGTCTCCTGGGTCCGGGTGCTCAGGCCCTGAAGGTGGGAGTCAAAGAATGGTCAGGGGTTTGATCTCACCCAAGAAGCCCCACCCACCCCAAAGACCTTGGCCCAAGGTCACCCCAAACCCCACCCTCTTTTGCTGATTCTGAGGGGGGACAATCAGGCTCACTCACCGTGTAAACACCATCTGATTTCTGCAGAGAGGAAAGGGGCAAGGCATTACAGACCCATATCTCTTTGAGGGCTCTTCAGCATCTATTAGGAGCTTCACATAACTTTCCCACCCAGGGAGTATCTGGGTCAGGGTCAGAGTTAGCTGCCTAACGCTGGAGGTCATTCACATGATAGGGACATGAATACACATTTGCCAACATGGATACAAACACAAATAACACACAACTCTCATGCATTCATTATCACCCTGTGCTTGATTCTTCCCTGTTACCTGCCAGACATTTTACTTGTGGCTTGGCCAGCTGGCAGGGTAAATAAGGTAAGGTGCTAAGGTGTATGCAGATCAGTACAAGAGATGCATGCTCTCCCAGAGGACTCAGACCCTAACTCTAGAAGGGCAGAGTCTGAAAAATTATCAACACCCACATGTGGGAAGGTCCATACCTCATAGTTGGCTATAGCTGCCTTTCGAACCTGGATCTGGAGTGGAGGAAAGGTAATCCGTGAAGAGGAAATTAGAGGCCCATCCCCTTCCCTCCAAGTGGGAGAACCCCTTGGGTTCCCCTTCCTCCATTCCACACTGCTGCCACCCTCCCACTTCTCCTTCTAGCCCTCACCCCACTTTGCCTTACCTTGAGTCGACAATAGAGCAGGGTGAGGACAATACCATATAAGAACAAGATGGCGTCCAGGATATAGCAGAGCTGAGGCTCTCCCAGGGCCTCTGAGGGGATAGAGGGTACCAGGGGGTCAGGGACATGGTGGTGGGATCTCGTGCTCAGTGGAGAGAAGGGAGAGACTTAGAGGGGATCCCTTTTAGGAAAGAAACTCTATGGTCCTTTCTGGACTCCTATTTTTCTTACTTTTCTCTATTCTCCCTTACCAGAGAGTAGGGATAGAATAAAAAGTTCTATTGCAGTAGGACTTACATGGTTTAAGAGTTGAAGACTTTCCCCTTAACCCCAACCCTCTTTAGCACTGTGGTTCTTTGGGTTCCATTGAGCGCTTCATCTATTCTCAAGGACAGGTCTAAGTTCACTGGGCTGAGACTAAAACCTCAGCCCAGCGGGGGAGGGTGATAGAGAGGCAGTGGCAAATTTCAGCTTAAGAAACCACAAGAGTGTGTCCTGTGACCTGTGGCTGAGAGCTGGACAGGAAGGATGTGAGCTGGGGAAGGGAGGGAAGGCAATTACTCCATTATTGGTCATCTCCCAGCCTCAGCCTCATTGCTCTCTGTCCCACAAGACACTTAAATATGCTAAAAACAAAGTATCTACTTTCCTATGCCTGCCACTGGCTGTGCACATGGAGCTGGGGAAATGACTACAGGCTCAAGGGAATGATCCCAAATTAAATGCAAAATATGAATTCTTCCTCCTGCTACTCTGCCCTGTTACTCACTGTGAGCCTCTCCGAGGGGAAGTTTTGTATGATTAAAAAAAAAAAAAAAATCACATAGGATCTGGGCTTCCAAGACTGTTCCCAGCCTGTATCAGAACTGATGGAATGCATCTGACTAATATGGGCCAAGTACTGACATCAGTAAAATACTTTTTATTCTGTAACACATGCACAATATTACATAAATCTCAAAACTACCCTGTGAAGGAAACGTCACTGCCGTTTTATGGATGACGAAACCCAGGCTTTCGGAAAAGCTAAGTAACTCATTCAGGGCCACAGTTAAGCAAGAGACTGGAACTGAAATCTAGTATTTTCTGCCTCCAAAGTTTTTCCTATGCCCTGGAGCTCTGGCCTCCCTCTCCATCCCATGACAGCAGTTAAGTGGCTCACTTAATCCTTTTTCTCCAMCTCAACTGGGTTGGTGGGACTCATTCAATTTCTCCAGTTTCCTTAAAGTTAACCAACTCCTTCCTCCCCAACTGACACAACCTCTGTTCAGAACAGACACACCCTCATAGCATAGACAACCCAAAGTAAGCAAAAAGTGAGAGTTCTTCAATTGACTAGAGTCCTAGAGCTAGAACCTTGTTATTTGTGCCTCTATTTCTCCGCTGATGCTCAGGTCTCTAGAAACAGGCATTTCATATGGCCCACCTTCCTATCAGCTCGTGCTGTAGTGATGATCCGCCGAAACAGCTATCATGCCTATTTATCTTGAATACCCCTTGCCTTGCTCCTAAGTCCAAAGACAGGCCTCTGCTCTCTAAAAGGGAGTTTTGTATATTTATAATTAACTACAGACCAACTCCCCCTGGACAAAACCAAGGATACCACAAAAATAATGCTGATCAGGGAAAATGGAGCCCTCTCATACATGCCCTTGATTCCCACACTGAGGACCAGCTCTTCGTACTAAACAAACACCTGCTTTTCCTGCCAAACTGACAGTCTCAAAGCCATCCTGAAGTCAGTCTGGAATAAGGTTGGAAAGGGACTAAAATCAAAGAAACCATGACTAGTGCCCTGGATAGGACCAGACTCAAGGTCTCTGTATCTCAGCCCTGTGCCCACATGCCTACCACTGGCCTTCCTCATTCTGTCCCTGACTAGAGCCCTCCCATAAATGCTCTTGATTCCCACACTGAGGCCCAGCGCAGTGACGCTCACCACACTCTCACCTGCTTGTTCAACCAAAAGGAGTAAGAGCAAGATCACTGCTGGAATCATCTTGGGCAGGGGGCTGAGGAGCCGAGAGCTGGGATCGGGCGCTGACAGCACTGCGCAGCTGTGCTCTGAGAACAGTTCCCTGACCACAGAGTTCCCCCCTTCCTGCCACGCCTTCCCCCACATTTTGGCCCCTTCCCCTTCCTGCATTAGAGATTGGGCGGCTCCCGGAAGGGCTAACTAGGGGAGCTAGAAGATCTGGACTCTAAGATTCAGCCCTTCGATGACCAACCTCAACCCACGGAACGAGGGGACTCTCAAGCTTGGGAAAGGCTATCTACACTGCCACCTTTCACTCCGCCCCTGTTCATAGACACACGTTTGATAAACTGACTTGATAAACTGCCCCTCAAGATTCCCTCTATACTCTTAACCCTTACCACCTGAAACTTTATACCCAGTCTTGATTAAGGAGCTTACCATTTTGTGTGGACATTGAGGTTAACGCAGAGGGAACTGAGGGAAAAAGAGGAAATGAGGAATAGAGAAGTGGAAAGGGCAAGAGTCAGCAGAGGGGTGGAGATGAGCAGGAAAAATTGCTGAGACCTAAATTTAACAGAAAAACAAAGTGAAAGACAATAAGATACCAAAAAGACATATCAGAAGCTTGGCCATAGGGGCTGCAAGGCAGCTAATTTATTATAATTTTTCCTTTTCAGTACATGCACAGAAAGTCTGTACAGATATATGTGTATGTGTACACACACGTACACACACACGCGCGCACACACACACAGACCCATTTTCAATGAGGAACAGGCTCCACAGAGGAATCTGATAGACAGGGCAGGTCAATGCTGTTCCCCTGCTCACCGATCTACTTCTCCAAACACAATATCTTGGGTACCTAGGTCAGAGGATAGAGAGAAGTTGTGTTACCAAAGAGCCAAAGCTCATTACTAAGTCCAAGAGACGGAGGCCTCAAGTCCATGTCAGTCTATGCTGAACAGGGAGTGTTTGGTTTCCCAACCACAGCCTGACACCCCTTGTACCTCCAGTACACAATAGGATGCCTCATACCTATAATGGCAACAACATCTGCCAACATGTGTCCCTTAGACATCTTGTCCAAACCAGCCTGGAGAGACAGAGAGAGCAACAGTGTGAGCAAAGATTTGCAGGGAAGGAGGAGATGGAAGGAGATTTCATAAAATCTCAACCAAGGTCAATAAATTTCTGGATTAATTTATTAGCATTCAAATCACTGGGATTGGTTCTTACCAAGTGGGCAAAACCAGGAGCTTTGATCTTGCACCGATAAGGGCGGCTACTGCCATCAGACACCAGGTATACCCCAAACTCGCCCTGTGCAAGGAAGAAGGTTGGGTGCCACTGTTTTTTTTTTTTTTTTTTTTTTGAGGTCGATCGATCGGCTGACTATATTGACAAGATACTGATTGGTTACATGTTGAAGAAAACATACAATACAAAATACAGAAAAAGTTGGTTCCATCCCC